TATTTAAGGAGGTGAAACAGTAAACTATACTGTACCCATACCAATAAAGAATTCGGGTGGGCCAGTGTCCGGGGCCCACAGCCGTTGGTTGTAACGTGAAACGTCTATCTCAGCCAGTACAATTAGTACAACTATTCAATGAGATTTCCCTTCTTTTTAAAATTTTAATATATTTCTACAAAACCAGGAGAATTGCAGATACACTGCCGGCCTTTTAAAAAGTTTCCCTTAGTCGTATCGGTCTATAAAAATCGCCGATGGTAAACGATTCCTAAGAAAACTCATAATAAATCGAACGGTAGTGGGCCGCTAAGCATCCAAATGATGTGGATGGTATCGTAAGTTTTGTCGCGATGTATGTTGGTAAAATTTGGTGGCTGGAATTAATCCAAAAAAATCTTCAGAGCACTCTCTGTGGTAAATACGATAGAAAATCGAAAGGGATGCAATATCCTTACACAGTGCCAGTGAATGGAGTCGATCAAAGAGAACTCGTTCGTTGACGGTTTGAGCCGCTCTGCTCGCTATGCGGTCAAGTGGAAGGAGTTTGCACTGGGGAGCCCCGTGCGAACTCATGAGAACAGTATTCTATGTGAGGCCGAACCTGCGCTTGTGAAGTTGCAAGCGATGTGTAGGTATGAAATACTGTCTCGCTCTACGGAGTACGTCAAGCTTTTTAGAAGCCAATTTAGCGTTCTATTCCAAGTTACCTTGCTACTGCAGGTCATTCGATGTGTCGACGCCGAAGACTCCGCTACTGACTACGACAAAAAGGGAAGTGCTCTGAAATTAAGGAGATACGACAAATGTGTTCTTTTTGACGGTAAACGCGCGAACTGTTGAATTTTTTTAATAATTAATTAATTTATTTATAATAAGTTACAATAAGTTAGCAAATATTTAAAGTTTATTTTTGTAAAAGAAACGAATTTGAAGACATGGAGGCGCTCGCTTATTGGATTTGATGTTTCGCGATGTGTCTTCGACGGGGACCTACCTATCATAATTTTCTTATGTTAAATATATATTTAGTCATATTATTATAGCGTCTAATGGACCTAGTGATGTCATCCACGATGCTACCAATGTGGCTGCTTGAATTAATTCTTAGTTACTGGAAATTAAAAAAAATTTAAACGCTGGCTGATTTGGAACTACTCATCGTGAAATATCCTTCTAGCTCCGCTACTAATGATAACGTATCACATTCCGTTAATTTAACATCGATAACCGTTAATGCCCCGAAGAAATCACGCCGACGCATAAATAACTAAAAAACAGTAGTATTGTTTTCTTTAAAAATTGCATTACTATAATCTGAAAAGTACTCTGTGACTATAATCGCAGCATTCAACTTTTTAATTTGTTATTGTTATATAATAATGAAGTTAACTGACATAGGCGGAACGCATAAACGCCACATATAATGCACTTTTAATTTCAAGGTTAATAAAGATTGCTGCAATGCAATGAACACAAATAAAATAAACTTATTAAGTTTTTACTACCTACCTACTTTTTAAGCTTATTTCTAATGTTTACATTACTTTGTCTTATTGTATACTCTAAGGTTTAAAATAACGTTCCGTTTTCTCCTTGTTAATTTTGTATTGCAATTAGTCTTTTTGGTTTTCTTCTTATAGTATTAATATAATATTGTGTATTTATAGATTAATTTTAAAAATCATTACGCTAGTGAGTTGCACTGAGTTGAGTTGTCTTTGTTCTTATTTAATTTCGTTTTTGTTTATCATAAGTTAGATAATATTTTTCTTTTAACATTGGTATATTTTTCTAATAGGATATTGCTTTTTTATTATTAAGTTATTTTAATTTTTTTTATTTTATAGTAATATATAATATATATATTATTTTTTATTGTCATAATTATGGAAAATCCAACTGATTTTAATGATGGTTTTTTCTCGTGTAATTCATCTTCTACCAGTTTCTTAAGCGCAGATACCGAGTCATCTGAACCTCTTGGACTGCATGATCATATTTCTGCCATATTTTCTCCTTATCCCAATAATTTTAATGTTGCCCATATCAACGCACAAAGTATTCCTGCCCACTATCCTGACCTTCTTGCATCCATTAGCAGTAATCTAATCGACGCACTTCTTATTTCTGAAACTTTTTTCAAGTCTTCTCTTCCTTCTTTTCAGTTTTCACTTCCTGGTTACGTTTTGATACGTAATGACAGGATCGGTAAGGGAGGAGGTGGTGTAGCTATTTACCTGCGTTCTGAAATCCCTTACAAACAAATCTCTGCTTCCCCGTCAACTTATTCTGAATCTGCAGAGTACCTTTTTCTTGAGGTTACACTTTACCACACAAAAATCCTTCTTGGTGTGATATACAGCCCTAATATACAAATTAATTATTTTGACGTATTTGAAAATCTACTTACAGACTTTTGTCCTATATACAGTCATGTGATCGTGATGGGAGATTTCAACACCTGCTTACTCAAAAACGATTCACGTGCATATAAGTTGAAGTCTATTGTGTCCTCACATAATCTACAAATTTTACCCCTCTCTGCTACCCATCATTTTCCCAACTGTACTCCGTCTTTACTTGACCTTATAATAGTTTCATCTTTAAATAACATCGCGAATCATGGACAAATAACAGCTTCTTTTTCGTATCATGACCTCATTTTCATTTCATATCGTGTTCGTCCACCAAAGCGTAAACCACATTTTCGATTTCTTCGTAGCTATAAGGGTATTGACTTGGAAGCCATAAGACGAGATGCAAGTGGAATGGACTGGTCTTCCGTAATGGATTGTCAAAATATTGATAATATGGTGAATAACTTTACTACTTTAATTCTTAGATTGTATGATTGCCATGCACCTCTCAAACGTATAAAAATAAAACATTGTCCTGCGCCCTGGATTACAAAAGATATAAAAGAGCTTATGGCACGTAGGGATAAAGCCAGAAGTAGATATAAACATTGTCGCTTGGAAAGAAATTTAATCAAGTTTAAGATTTTACGTAACCGCTGCAATCGTCTGTGTAGAGATGCTAAAAGACGCTACTTTCATGACTCACTTTCAAATTGCGATTCAGGAAAAGCCTGGAGTTTTCTCAAAACAGTCGGCATTGGCAAACATCCTGCGCTTGCGATTGGAAATCTTGATATAGATTCTCTCAATCAACATTTTTCACTTCCACCTGTTTCCTTATCTTCATTTATAAAGGCTAAGACCTTGTTAGAATTATCCAGATGCCCTGTACAACATTTCCCCCAGTTTGAATTTGTACCAGTATCAGAAGATGAAGTAAAACGATCAGTGCTATCCATATCTTCTACTGCGTCGGGAAACGATAAAATTTCTTCCACAATGATAACTATGATTTTACCTTGTATTCTCCCAGTTCTTACTTACATATTTAATTTTTCATTGTCTTTCTCCTGTTTTCCATATTCGTGGAAGTTAGCACACATTATTCCTACAGCCAAGGTTGCTAACCCTACATTACCTTCTGAATTTCGACCTATATCTATATTACCATTCCTCTCTAAAGTACTGGAACACATTGTTCACAATCAATTTTCTTCTTACCTTAACTCCAACAATATTTTAAGTACATTTCAATCTGGATTCCGGCCCGGTCACAGTACAACAACTGCTCTTCTTCAGGTAACTGATGATATCCGTCGAGCCATAGATCAAAAACAATTAACAGTACTCGTTTTATTAGATTTTAGTAGTGCCTTCAATTCTGTTGACTTTGATATCCTCCTTAAAATTCTTCAGGCTATCAATGTTTCATCTTCGGCCATTCTTTGGTTTGATTCCTATCTTCGGGGACGCTCGCAATGTATCCGCTTCAATGACACTTATTCCAACTAGTGTAATCTTATCGCAGGTGTACCCCGAGGTGGCGTCTTGTCTCCTTTACTCTTCACCGTTTTTATTAATTCTATAACGAAAATAATATCCTCCAACTTCCATCTTTATTCAGACGATTTGCAGCTTTACCGTCACTTTGAGGCATCTGAGGCTAAAATGGCGATAGATGCACTGAATGACGATTTGGATAGAATTAATCGTTGGTCCAGATGGCGATATACCGTCTTGTATACGCCCGGCGTAAAATATCTTGACTAACGACGGCCAGCAGCGTCAATGTAGTGCGACGTTTGGTACTGCGATCGTCGAGCCAGGCAAGCATGACTAATAAGGCAAATCCTGCCTATACTATGAAAGCAGTCAGCAAAACATTGAAACATTTTATTACCCTTCAAACCCAAACGCAGTAGTGAATGCAATGAGTAAAAGTGTGGTACCAGCCTCTTCAAATTCATAGGTAGAAAGTAAGATATATACTATATAGCTTATTTTCTACCTAAAATAATAATACTATATAGTAAATAGGTAAATAGGGTATATATTGTGTGATTATTTATGTTTATTTAATAATCTTAATTCGATCATTCATAGGAAACTTAAGTATTATTCTGTTATATTTCTATACATGTATTCTATTCAATAATTTTATATCACATAATTGGGGTATTAAGTCCATATACTTAACAAAAGGGTTACAAAGGTGTAACCATTTTGTTAAGCGTATACGTAATTACAATAAAATGTAAATAAATGACCGTGTAGTGGCGGTTTAAGAATATCTACTACGCCATATCGTCCCACGGGTGTCGCAAAAAGCGACAGAGGGAAACAAAGCAATAGATGGGCAACACTGTCATTCATAAAACAATAAAAAATTATTAAACTGCGGTTGCCAATCCGCCTGCTATGCTTGGCAAATTTTATCACTACGAGATATCTATGGAGGGTACTTTTTATAAGCTGTTACGGTAACGTTAAATAAATAATTAAACGAATAAATAGCCCTACCACTTTGTAAACAATACTTATTAATTAAGACAGAATCCATACAGATTGACAGTTTTGAAATGCTGATTAAATTTAAAAATAATAACAACAACAACACTACATTGTTTTGAAATAATTTACCTGGTAGAAATAGAACTTGTTTATAAGTGTTCCATTCCTTGTAGAGTTCGTTGCGAAAGTGCTATTTATGTCTAGGAACAGACTACAATTATAGCACTCCGCTTCTTCCATGATCGTAGACTTCACATTTTGCCTTCGATGTGTCTGTGAACAAAATTTTAAATATATATAATAGGAAATGGATACATTTAAAAATATTATATAAAATTTTTATGGGTTGCGTCAGTTCCGACAAGTGTGTGATTATAGGGTAAGTGCAGCAGGTATTTATTTCTTAGAAATATGAAACAACTATAGATATTTACCACCGGCGATTTTTACGGACCGATACGACTTAGCGACCTTCAAGAAAAGAGCTTACATCTTTCTAAAAGGCCGGCAACGCATCTGCAATTCCCCTGGTTTGCGGTTGTTCATGGGCGGTGGTAGTCAATTATCATCAGGTGAGCCGCATGCTCGTTTGCCCCCTCTTCTATAAAAAAAATCATTTATTGTTTGGCATATTAATGACACACACCACCGTATGATTAGGAAACTTCAATAAACGAGCCTATTCCTTTTTTAAATGCCATCAATCCACCACATACCTTAGGTATTATGGATGTTTATGGCATGATCATATCATCTTGCATGGGTTGGAAACAGATAATGTTGCTTATTATGCATACTATATACTGATTACTGTGTACTTGCCAATAAACTGCTTTCAAGTTGCTAAGCAAATAACTACGATAATCTTTCTAACTATTAATGAATAATTAAATAAAAAGGAATCAATAATGATTCTAGTAATCATTGGCCTTTAATACCATCATATAGATCACCACTACACATAGGCTCAGCCAAGAGACTGGTTAAAATGATGGTCAGCGCCTATATGAAATGTCTTCCTGTATGCTTTATCGATTCAACGCTATACTTTTTGTAGAATAAGGGTGACAGAGGAGCACATAATCCATCTTATGGTAATATCCCATAGACATCTACATCTGTCTTCAAATAAGAATCAAAATGCATAATGCCTTGTCATGCATGAGGACTATGAAGAAATGCCTCGTTTCCAGTAAAAAGGGTCTCCCGTTTTCTGCACTCACTCTAAGGAACACAGCAGCATTAATTATATGTATTCTGTGAGAGCATGGTTGAGCCGACCCATTCGTCCTACAACCATAATATAGTTACAGCGTGGCTCTACCACGTATAATATTATAAATGGCTGCTACACACCGCGCTTACCAATACGGTATTGCCACTTAAAACCTTTATATTATAACGGTTGTTAATTCCACGCTGTCTTATCAGGCTTAGTGTTAATTAAAAGGGGTAGTTTTTAGATAAACTCGAGGTAAAAGTAAGTAAAACTATTACTCAACCTATCTCCATCATGCTTTACACTTTTAGTATGTCTGCATGATTAACGTTCATTTTATCCGGACATCAAATATTATGAAACTGCTCTACCTACCCAGGGTTAGTCTCTAAGTTAATTTATTCCCTTGCGGGCTTTTTAATAAAGAGGTGGAAATTTTGCGTAATATATGTTAAGATATTTCCATCCCCGCTAAATATGTTCAAAATTGAAATAATAACTGTTTGAATTTTAGTTTAATATACCTTATCATTATAATAGGGCCTTTAAAGCCCACTTCGGAATGGGTTTTTCCTATTATAGAAAGATCATGCGTTATGTCATCACTCTTGGCAGATGGTGCCAATCTTCGACACAGTGACCGAGTAAAATCGGTCACAGTTGAGCGTGTGACTGCTGTACTAGCATATGTCACAATTGGTCAGCAAAGACTTCTACAACTGTACAGCTGTAATAGATATTAATTTATTCAGAAAGGAGGGTGAGCGTACGGGAGTACCAAGAGAAAGATTGTTTGAGCTGTTTTTACTATTCGAAAGGCCTTATTCTAACTTAAAATTTGCGATAATTAACTTTACGAAATATGAGAAAGTTTTTAAGTGATAGCTTGAGATCTCCGTATTATGCGTGGGTGATAACTGCATGGACGTTACAGCTTGGACGCGGGAAACACCCCGGGGCGGTAAGTTAGTTATAAAATAAACATTTTGAAAAATTTCATGATTGCTGTTCATAGAATTTACTCAAAAATGATTATTTGTTCAACCATTATGAATCGCGACAGAGATACATAAATTAGAGAAAAAAAAACTATAAAATATCATGTAATACTTTTATACAAATATTTCTCATATTCCTTATTTTAATAGACGTAAGTAGATACCTCTAGTTTAGGATGGGACTAATAAATTTTTTCCTCAGCAATAAATTCTTAAATTCAGACACGATCATGCAATGCGGTTAGAAAAAGAACAGACTTATAATATTTAAACTTAGATATAAATAAATAGATGCATTTTTATTGCCACGCACTTATAAATAACATAACTTTACCGCCAAAATATACGTACTCGTATAAAACTTTAAAATGATAAAAAGCAATTGCTGTCCGTTAGTCTCGCTAAAACTCAAAACCGGCTCAAACGAGTTTGTTGAAATTTTTTGTGTGTTTGAATAAGTCCCTAGATAGTTTAGATTAAGACATTCGGACGAGGTAGGTGGCGCTGTTGTCGAGATCCAGAATTTAGAAGTGCAAAGCCGAGGCGGATCGCTAGTAATATATATTTTTGGTGGTTTAATTTGTTTTTGGTAGTTGTGAGGCATTTCGTTTTAGTTCTCAATTTTTACGTGGTAGAGTCATGCTACAGCTATATTAGTAGTATAGTTGTAGCATGAATGGGTCGGCTCGACCGGGGAAGGACCACGCCCTCACAGAATACCAGCGTAAAATAGCAGCTTAACACTGCCGTGTTTCGTATAGTGAGTGTAGAAAACCGGAGACCCTTTTTACTGGAAAAGAGGCATTCCATCTTAGGCCTCACGGGTGACAACGCATCTGCATTTTGATTCGCAAACGAGGATAAATGTAGATGTCTATGGGCCACAGCATCCACTTACCATCAGGTGGACTGTGTGCTCGTATGTCACCTATAAAAAAAAATTGGATGTCAATGAACTGCATAAGCCGTCGTTTATCATTTGTTTTATAAAAGAACAATTTACAGATGATTAAATGTATCAGATCCTATATACTATGGAAGCTATTTATGGAAAAAGCCCATGTTCAACAGCGAACTGTTAACGGGTCAAAGATAAAGAAAAAGGCAAATGTCTAATAATATAGTCTGAGAATATAGTTGCAAAACAACAAAACAAGTAATAGGCTTTTATAAAATTTATTTTCAATAGTTTAGTAAGATACCTAGCAGATATTTTTACTTTCACTCAATTCTAGATTGCTTCTTATATCGTGGCCCGCAAAAATAATGAAAATGTTGGCGGTTGGTGTTTTGTTTTTCAGTGTTTTTTTTTTTACTTTAAATGTCTCTTAGGTCTAGTAGTCGTTAGCGCGATTACTGATTATAGGGTCCCCAGTTTGAGTTCCGATTCGGACCAAAATCAGTTAAAGGGTTATTTTCTAAAGAAAATCTCCGTAACAGCCCGGAGTCAGGAAGTTAGAGGTGTTCCACCACCGTGCTGCGGAAAGCACGTAAAGCCATAGGCTCTGTGCTTGTTCTTCTCCGGTCATGGTAGATTGCCGTCCCATCGATTTATAAGAGTAAGGGAATAGCGAGTGCACCTGTGTTTCAGCACAAACTCGTGCACTAATAATCCTTACACGGATGACCGCCGTGACCGAAATTCAGTCTGGAGGATATTAATTAACTTTCACAGCATAGTATTTAAAGGCCGGGTATATTTCTATGTACGTAAAAATATATTGGTACTTTTATAATTTTATACTTTAATGGTAATTACCGTCTGTTTGTAAAAGTAGGTTGTCTATTAAAGTTGCTGGTGTGTTCCTTGGCGCTTAGAGCGCCTGGATGCATAAATGTTGGGGTTTATCGAGCCTTACGCTTTATTATGACGTAAATAGCACTCAGTGCTTTCAAGCAAATTTGCTGAAAAGATTAAAGAAATATAAAAGAGGGAGTAAGATTTTTCAATGTATTTTAAAATAGCACTTGAATAAATTTTTGCAGTAGCGCATCTGCATTAAGCAAACTACTTTTACGCGAGACCTTCCATAAATAAATTGATAATTGCTAAGTATACACGAAAGCTGCTGTGTGAGTGTAAATATCTGAAGACCATTTTTACGGGAAACGGGACATTCCATTTTAGTATTTAGAGGTGACAATGCATCTCCATTTCAATTATCAATCGAGGATTGATATTGATATCTATGGGTACCATATCCACATATCATTAGGTGGACAGTGTGCTTATTTATCAATATTGTTTTATAAAAAGCCCTTCCTTGTATAAAAATACTTTTTACAAAAAGCAAAATAGGACCAATTGTTATATCTAAAGTAAATTAAAGTTACAGTACAGTAAACAGTTACAGCCAAACGTCCCACTCCTGGGCACCGGCCTCCTTGATTTCTGAGAGGAAATGTCCACTGCTGCCTTAATGCATGTTGATGGAATTCACGCCTTAGAAATATATTTTTTAATTTCTTAGACATTCAAAATCGTGGTAGAGCCACGTTGGAGCTATATTATATTTTTAGTACAAATTGGTCGGCTAGACCAGATTAGGACCACGCTCTCCTAAAGAACCGAAGACCCTTTTTACTGGAAACGAGGCATTCTATCTTAGTCCGAAGGTCTGCATTTTGATATAAGTAACTGCGGATAGATGTAGATGTCTATCAGCTACAGAATACACTTACCAGGTCTTATCTGGTGGACTGTGTGCTCGTTTGTCACCCTTATTCTATAAAAAATACATGTTTGCTCACAATTTTTTCCCTTCACCATTCGAACAGGCGGTAAATCAGCACTTAAAACTGCAATTAACAATTTCAATGGCACCAGCGGAGATGAACCCAATTTGCTCGAGTACTGTGATGTTTACAGTGAACGGTAAGCCACCGTGGATAAGGTGTTAACCTCATCTGCAAACGATACATTTTGCTGATTGACGGAAGATGCTCTTCTATTAAGATAATAGTGGGGAGAATAACCAGCGCAAGGTATTTTACAACTGTGACGCTGCTTTACGTAGCTGACT